ATGAAGCAGCGGAAACTGCAGGAAAGGCGCAGATAAAAAGAAGTTCAGATCCGCTAGCGCCCATTTCTGAGCTTTGAAGGATTGTAAAGGCCGTGGATAGCACCTTTTTAGATTGCACGAAAGGTTCATAGTTCGGATGACCGGCCGCTTCGTTGTCGGATGTGAGATCAACTGAGCGAGATCGTCGCCTACAATTTGTACATAATTTCAAAAGCCCTAAAGGAATGATGAATGGTGAAAAACATATGATTATCTTTTTATGGCTTGAGTTTCCCCCAGTCCATTAGAAATTACGATGAATTATAAAGTAAGAAAAATAAGAATCAATTTCTCGAGTTGTTTGTAAACTAATAATACGATTAAAATACATTATTATCATTATTATTTTGCGACAAAAAAATGAACTCACTCTCGTCCCTTTTCTTTTTTTTTTTTGTTATAAGTAAATGCTCCATATTCTGAGACAACTATTCATATTCTTTACATGGCTATATACAAACGTTATATGCCAGCTGCATAGAGAAACTCTCAGAATTAAAGCGGTACTTTCGTGCCAATTCTAGCGTGGCAATCAATTTTTATTAATAAAAATCGCTTTTTCTTACCTGTCCTTTTGTGTAGACGCCGGCAGCGTTGTAGTTATAGACTCTGTCATTTGATGGCAATACGACGACAATAGTGACCGCCAGCCGCTTCTAGCAATCAACCTGCCATGTGCTTCCAGCAATATACCCCACAGGCTATACCGAAATAGTGAGAAGGAGCTAAGTCATACATTTGGTAGTAGTACTGGGACAGTGCTTATAGAAACATGCGCGAAGCGGGAGCATGGAGAAAATTTATGGTGACGACGTCACGAAAAGCAGGATAAGAGCGAAGAAACTGAGTTGAAGAAGTCAGCGAAAGAGTCCCGCTGAAGTCAGCGGTGTAGCAGTTGCAATACGTAAGGGTAGCGGTTAATAAGGGAATAGAGTGGCAAAAGAATAAAGTGCAGCAAAGGCTACTAGGTGGATGGTTGTTAGCCAAGAACGGTTGAAATGAGTAGACTGGGCAACTGGCTTAGCCAGCTTATGAGGAGTTGGTTGATCGTCATTAATTGGGTGGGAACGAAAAGATTATAGGAAAAACTACCCCATCAATACTTGGACTACACAACAGACCGAACTCGTCTGTGAGGAGTGCGGTGGTCGGGTTGCTGTTGCTCATCGAGTAGCAGACGATGGTAGGGTAAACGAGCACGGCAGGAAAGTGGAAACGAAAAGAAATGCTTCTGTTGGTTAGTTCTTCAAAACAAAAAAGCATCTGATCCCGTTTCACTAAAATGTTCCTCGCTCGAGGTTAACGGCAATGAGATTGTGGTATGATACTTGTGATGAATAAATACATTTAGTGTCGAGGTATAACAATTTGAGATGTGATAATGGAAAGATGAGTAATGCTCGCCGAACAGCTAAAGCCGCGACACCGACAGGGTTCTGTCTGTGCGCTGATACGGAAGAAGAATTCGGACGAAATAAACAGAAAGCGACTGTTCGTTTGACCATGTGCGATTGTCCTGTCATGTTACGAAAAATTTGTTATCTCCTGGATTAAGCTACTTGAAAACCACTTGGAGCGTTCAATGGAACGCCGACTTGCATGGAACACGGTGACTGCAGTACCATTTTCAATAGGGGTCCTGATCTGTACACGGCCATTCTGCCCCAAGCCCATTTTGTGATAAATATAGTGAGACCCCCAATATAGAATAACCGCTATATGGGACCGTATTATTATATTATGGCAATCAGTTTAGTTAATCGCTTGCTTTAATGGTACATCCCTGCTAACGTAATGCATCATCGCTGATTCACGAAGTGCATTCGAATAGAGCAGCCATTTTTTTAATAGTTACGTAATATTTCGAAATATTTTCCTCCTATCGCTTAGTTCGCCTACGTTGCTTTTCATCGCCGCGACCATCCTCCGTTGTCGACGACATTGTGAGTCCCACCTTACACTCGCGAGTTCATTATGTCAAGTGAACAGCTCCCGTCTTGTTTGTTGGCATTGTCAGCTTCTACGATAGGCTCTTACTCCTATACGGGTAGGCCAACAAGGGCATCGCTGAACAGCTGCTTGCCCAAAGGTAATTGCCTTTTACTTGTACAAAGTGAACAACCTTTGTTGCGACAGCAAACTCTAGCCCACCGATTCAGCCTTGCGTCCACAACATATATGGTGAGATATATATTTGTGCAGGGTCCCAGCGTAGGGCTGCTTTTACTTTTATTTGCTAGTGGTAGCTGAGTAGACTGTACCGCCTTCTTTATCTGGGTACCGTCAATTCACTGAACGGCCCCAACTTATAGCCGGCCTTCAAGACTTTTGGCTCGAAACCCAGTATGCACTTACAAGGGCGTGCAAGCAGAATCGTTACTCTTCCTCGGTCATTTGTACATCATGCACTGTTACTTGACTCCCTTCCCGCCACTTTTTTTTTTGTGTATTTACGTATCGCCCTAAGCTTTGATAAACATTGGTAGATCGTTCGTAACTTGTCTCAGCACAACAATAAAGAATGTCTTGAACAACAAAGGACACGAGTGGGTTTGTTTATCGGTTTACCGGCCGTATTTCAGAACGGGTATAGGGTTGCCTCGTAGATATCGTCAAGATGATCTACCACCACTATCAGTGCTAGTAGAAAGAAGAGGTGTTTGCCTCAACACGCACTTTTCTAATCAGTTTCGTCTACGGTGCGACGAGGCTATTGCTTTACTGCTCTTCTTGCTGATGTTTTTGTCGCCCGTACCACCTACGCTCAACGGTGTACTACATATGAAGTGACCAATACCTCGAACGAATTCTTATTGGTGAGTCATATGAGTTATCACAACTACGCCAGCAATCAAGTATGATACTAGTAAACACTGTCAACAATCTCCCATACTTTGCTTCACCTTGATATGCTGGGCTGTTGGGCTCGAAAGGAGGTAACTGGTGACTCGCGGAGTTCGCGCGGAGGAAGGACTGTCCCACTTCAACATTCCTCAAAATAAGATAATGTGATTTTTTTCAAATTCGGACAGCAACATATTCAATTTTTTTAGATGTATTCAATAAATTGAGTCCGTTTGCCATTGTGTTTTGTGCACGTGGTAGCTTATCATGTCGAATTTACCTTAACAAGATAATTCCGATATGGGCAACTATCAATTTCCAGAGTGACAAATATGGCTTTGAAATTGCCGAAATGTTAGTGTCTCTAGGGAATTCTGCAACATTGTACGTGATATCAACGGAATAAAGCTATTCCATACTTCATCATATTCGATTTTATTAATAGATAGAACATTCTAGGGTAGTCGTGTTCGAAATCGGAATACGGTTTTTGTCACAAAACCACGAACGTGGGTTTCATTCGAAGCTGTAGTACGACATCCGTAAAACTCATCTACCCGAAGTCAATTTTTCACTTACAATGAAAGTTTGCTGTTCCAGCATCTTTGTGTGCCATTGCAGATCTTCGAACGATAACATTAAGGGCATTGTTGTATCCTTCGATGCCACCCACCTGAAATCAACTAGTTTTCGTATTGTAATTGCATTCAGTTAAATCATAATACATGTTTGATGCAAGCAACGTAACTAATAATAGGTAGATATAGATAAATAATATAAGAATAATATGGAGAATAAATAGATCATATAGATATGACTCGATCATGTTTCTAGGGAACTTATCGACATTTTCAAGCTGTCAAAACAATATGCAAAAATCCTAGCGATGCCAAAGCTAAATTATAATGAGGATAAAGATCAGCACACTATCGAAGAAAAAAGACGTTGTCGACTTGAACTTCGTTGGTTAAGTTTAAATGCTAGTTCATATGAAGGATAACATTATATAGCTTATCCCTCCGCCTCTTCCCGGTTAGCACTCGATGCTGTCGTTTTCCTTGTCGGCAAAGGAAAAGCATTGCCTTAGGCAAATTGAGGATCTATTAGCTAATCTATGGGCGATGGTCAGTTTAGCCGCCTACCCCCTACTGCTGCTGGTGGTTGGCTCTGGCTCCGTGTGTCAGGCAGGGGGTCGTTACAAACCCCTTGGGCTGCTGGAGTTTAGGTGTTCTGCCAGCCCAAACTATACAGTAGTGGGCTATCCGCCTTTCTCGTTAAATGCGTAGCCGCGGCTACCTCGGGTGCTAGTATTGTTGCCGCCTTCTGAGCTCGACGGCTTGTGAGAACGGATCAGCTGATCACCCGCGGCGACTGATATCACCACATCCGGCCGGCGGGGTGTATGGACCCTGCGCATTAAAGTAGGGACGAGGAATGAGCTGTGAGACCAGAGCCCCTTGAAAACAGATAGGAGGGGAGTAAAGCGAGAAAAAGAAAATGAGCACGAGAGAGGAGATATAGGCCAATGGGAAAAAAAGGTGCTAGTGCTCGATTTTGCTTGGCTGGGATATCCTCTGCGTTCTTCTGCCCTTGCGGTAGGCCGCTGTTCCTGGGTCATCCTGGGAACGAAGACGGGCGAGGGCCAGTCTTTACTACGTGATAGTGCTATACTCTGTATAGACCGTTCCGGATCTTTGCCATCCTAACAAACTTCGGGAATGTGCTGTAGACTGTTAGCAGGCAAGAGAGGACTGTGAAGTGATATGGATGTGAAGGAGACCCATGTGTACATCAGGATTCTGACCGGCTGGCGCCAGCATCAGCTTCGCCCACCGATTCTATCAGAGCAACGATGGCTGATGTAAACCGAATGGCTGGGTCGCTCTGAGCCAACTTGGTGTTAGAATCTATAATACTGTAGCGCATAGGCGGGGTGAGGATGGAGAAGAAACCAAACAAGTGAAAAGCTCGGGCGCCTAGGCCTTCGATCGACGATAGTGAGCTATGAACGGATGGATGTCTCGCACCTGAACTAATTGAATTGTCCACCTCTAATCAATCAACCATTCAGCAACGGTAACGGTGGCGATGGTAGCAGCAGCCCCTAGAAGCGGCAGGCCGTTCCATGCAGAATCATCGAGGTTGACACATCGAACACTGCTAGTTTACTGAGTGACGAATATACAAATATTTATCAGCGATGGGAGGCAGTCGGAAGTCCGCGACAACACAGGCACAGACGACGTAAATACTCCAACGAACTTTTACCTGTTTCACCACCACATAAATGATAATTCGTGTCATTGAATTTTTCGTTGGAAAAACTGTTAGTCGAAATGTTGATTTGTCTCATATTTGGAAGGAGGTAAAGAAATATGCCGTAAAATGAATTTCCGGAATAAAAATCTACGAGGAAATGTTACGACCATGGAACATTTGAAACTAAGGTTCTACAAAGAATTTAATCATAACCCAAGTTATTGGCAAAAGGTTTATTAAAAAGGCGTCGGAGTTTAAAAAATGATTACATTTAATAAGGCGAAAGCCAGACGACGTGTTTTAGGCTGCTCGTAAACTCGTTATCGTGTATCTCATTTTTCAAGCAATTTTTCGAAATATTCAGCCAAGACTTTAATTCCGTGACATAGGCATCACCATACCCATCAAGTAATGGGTAGTTATGTGGTCATTCTGTTGAATTGCGCCTTGAGCCAAAAGGGCTCAAGAGAGTTGCCATCTGACCGCCATTCATCGCGCATTCGCTCACTGATACACTAGTTAGTGTAGCACCAGGTACAGTTTATGCTGCGAAAATAGGGGGAGATACGGGGTAAATTTGCCTTCGCAGTTTAAGGGGTCTGCGTACCAGTATTCTCCGCTCTTACTATAATATGCGTAATATAATTACTGAAACACGGTTTATGAGCTTGTCAAATATATCCCCATCACAGGGCTGTATCGTCGTAGGCAGCACACGGTGAACTTTCTTGCTTTTTAATCAAATCAATCTTTTGTTTGACCACTAACGCTACGCTGGTGCACTTAAAGCTTCAATTATTTGATAGTGCTTTACTAAACACTCTAATTACGGTTTATATTATGGATCATAGGCCGATAGCTACACCAAATGATCTCTATATAAGCTGGTTGTATCGCAGCATCTGTAAATTCGTTTGCTTGTAATGTGGCAGTATATTTGTTGCACCTCATATTCCAGCATATGTGAAAATCAACAATGTATTCTCGTTTTACACGCCATTTTGAAGCGCGAACGTTTGAATATTTACAATAGCATATATTGTATCCTTTGTAAATATATGACCCACTAGTGACATCTAATTTGCAAATAAAGTATAATGATTTTGTAAATATACTAGCAATATATGTTATACTGATTGGATAAAAAATACTTAATCATCCAACTATTTCATCTTGAATAAGTACAAAGTAGTATGTCGCTCCATGACGACCGAAAACTTTATGTTGTTTACAACGTTATGTTGATTACTGAAACATTATTAGGACGAAGTCATTGTTATTAACTTTAAAAAGTTCTGAAACAATACAATCACTACAAACAATACAGACAGACATCACCGTTAAACCCAAACATGCGAATGATAGAGGTAAGTGTGAACAAGAAAATGATAAATAACTTGAATTTTTCTTTCTTGTAGAAAAGCTAAGTTCTCTCCAAGTGACACCAGATTTATTTGTCTTTGTTTGTCTTTAGTGAAAAACAGCAAGACCTGTATCTTTGTGCTGAGTAAGCACTTAACTGACGGCATGACAACTAACCGCAACAAACATTTCACAATGTAATCTTGTTTATCGATGAATCATAAAGTGTATTGCTTTGTTTTAACTTCAGTTGGTTCAAGTAACATACGTACGACGTGATCATCGCAGTCATACAAAAAATGCGTATAATTAATCTATATGACATATTTTTTTTCTAACATTTACAGGTTTGGTGAAGACCGGGGTCCATTGCGTGTCGGGCAAGAAGGTCGCGGTGAAGATTATCAATCGCGAAAAGCTATCTGAGAGTGTCCTTCAGAAAGTCGAACGAGAAATTGCTATCATGAAGCTGATTGAACACCCGCATGTCTTAGGACTTTATGACGTGTATGAAAATTCAAAATATCTGTGAGTTTTAGCGTTTGTTTGTGTACAGTGCAGTGAAAATTTATATATATATACGTATATATATGTGGCATACTAAGACGATCAATTATATTTCTCTTAACTAAACCCTATTTATTAATACTAGAAACAAGCACCAATACCGAAATGCGTATATTCAGGAGCATTTGGTCCTAACTCTGAGAAGGCACAAGCCTATCGTCTATAACCAATGTTCCCTCCAACAAACATCTTTCCTCCGTCAGCTGTCATTAGCTTTTGACGTGACAATCGCACATAATTTAGCCTTTGAGACGACTGCAAGTACCCTAATATGCCTTGGGACTCCAGGGCATCAAAGGCCGGTCAGCATTCCATAGTCACACTCGGTTTGCAGCCTCTTATAATGAAACTTAAATAACAAAAACCGCCCATAAACAATATAGGCAACAACATACGCAATAATAACCATAATAAAAAAAATTACAAACACAATACCATGTAAACAAGACAGAACAGTAAAACATTTATTTTTGCGCCTTGTATCAAATGGTTTCTCATAGAACGTTATTGTTTTGTCGTTAGTTGAAGTCTAGAAGTGTTTGGCGAGTAAACAAATTACGTTCCTTAGTCCAGAGCTAAAAAATACTTTTATCCGCCAAGCCACTTACTAGGATCAAAACGTTGGCTGACGTCAGGGCCGAGGTATAGGAGGAGGGAAGCCGGCACTAGCTTCTCATTTGTATGGTGACACTCAACGAAGCTTATGGACCTGTTGGGTCGATGGAATCGGCTTCCAATCCAGCTTGGTGTTTTTTTCCTGGCAACTTCTCGAGTGACGTCCTTCGTTCCAGCCCCCGGTGGGCCTGGTTTTCATCACGTACAGTCAGTCGTCAAGATTAACAGTAGACACGTTTGCGATACTAGCGATCACGCAGGCGTCCTCCTAGCTTCAAAAAGACCGCGCGAACCCAACCTTGTCGCTGCCTTTTTCATTGATTAAGACGTGATGTCATTCACGGGTCTTTTTTATTATATCGTCCACTATTAAGGCAATAATAAAGAGAATGGTTGGCAATGGTATATGCAGAGCAGATAACGAGCAGTACTCATGTCAAACTATCGGATCATCAATCACTAGCACGGAGTACTTGAAAATATTGATCTATAACACGAAAATATTTTCAACTTGAAGGTAGTTATGGCTATTTTTTCAGTTTGGTATAGTTAAGAAGGACCCCTCTTGCTGAGGTATATATGAACGCGAAATCATGTGACTGTAAAATCATGCCATTACCCATGACATTATTTATAAATACATCAAATGTTCACTGTATATTTCCAGTATTAGGGAGCGCTTGATACCGGTAACCATGGCAATAAAACAGTTCTGATTAAACGCACTTCAACCGATATTACCACGGAGAAGTACTATAATTTTTACGGTAAATATTACAAATAGTTCGCTTCAATTGTATATAATATGTAGCTTTCGCCAGCTCCTAGTTCAAAATGTCGACACACAACGGTTCTACTTTAAAATTCCCTCAACAGTAAACAGCTTCATCGTACCCATTTTTGATTCATCTCAACTTGTAGCGCACCTGCCTTGAGAGGTCGACCATTTGGCTTGACCAGATTATACCACAGTTATAGTCCGATTTTTTTTTGCTACCATATTAAATGGCAAATGAAAAAGGGCGATAACTAGGCAGCCAGTTGACGTATACTACGGCTTATGCAGCAACTAGTTGAAGTGGGTCTAGCTGGTGATGGTGAAGAACGAGTGTTCTGTGAGATTTAATTTCTAAAGATTTTTCCGTTGGTGGCGGAAAATAGTCTCGAAAGCCAATCCTGCTAAACGGCACAGCGAAATGGTTAAGGAAAATGAAGGATACGATATGGCTAAAACGCTTCACTCATTCGATGCCTGACCCAGGCCGCCAGTGGATTAGAAGAAACCCCACCAACCCTCGATTCATCGAGTGAAGTAATAGGATTACGTCGTCCGGCAACTCTAACGTTTAAACTTTAACCCATAGCTGAGGGTACGTGTGCGTGCACACATTCGCGTGCAGCTGCTGTTATGGCTTAAGCCCCTCGTGGTAGCCGCATAGAGGAACACGAAATTGATTCCATTAGCTTGAGTATAACAAAGGCCAAATTGGTCGCAGCGTCTCGTTATGCTCTTCCTACCAGAGTGTGCGTGTGAGGATGGGAAGAACAAATATACTGTTGTGCCAGCTTTGTCGACACGAAAGAACTAAAGTCAGGCCAATATTACGTGTTTGTCTTACTGCCGCCGCGTTGTCATAATAAATCCTTCCTTCCAAGACTAACGTCTCTCGATGCAGTCGAATCTGTTGCTCTTAGACGCAACGCGACACTGTCATTCGCATGTAAGCTCCCACCGACATAATATTAAGGATCAGGAGTTCTCGTTACTGACTTTATCTTGGCTTTGCATTGCCATATAGTGGTAGGTCCGCAGCTTACTCGACTCAGAAAATGCCCGAGTGATATCAATTTTAGGGGTGGTGCATTAAGGTTGTCACAATGTTAGGCCCCGCGTGCCATAGGTTTCTTGGGGGCGATCGTGTATCAAACATGTTATCGCTGGAACGCAAAGATTACGCCCTATGAGCTTTTCTAGCCACTATTCGTATCCGCGGTCTTCAATTTGAAAATACCGAGCAGAGTTTCAGGACTTAAAATTTTAAAATAATTTCATATAATATATATATATATATATATATAATTCATATAATAAAACAATATCCGCAGTGCGCACGGCCACCGAACAGAAGCTCAAAAAGTGCTCGTCTGCGGACGCGCATTTTCATATACACTGGCCAATGTGGAAATCTGTAGAACCATGAACAATTTTTCCTGTAGGATATGCCTGTCACGTAGGTATACGTAAACGTAGGCTAGTACGTGTTCCTATAATCTCAGAGCTAATTATATTTCCATGTCGAAGAACTATACATGTCTTTGTTTTTTAATTAATAAAAAATAATTATTTTTATAAACGGAACGATGCAATAACATATGCGATGCTGAAGGGTCTAGAAGGCCGCCAACAACACTACTGGCATTGATTCCATAATTTCCTCCGCAGAAAAGTGCAGGCTCCTTACTGACCACTGGGTACGATGGCTCCCCTGGAGACCACTAGAATCCTACGTATCAAAGTGTCAGGATAGTGATACTGATTTTCGGCAGTGCGCAGTTATAGTTTCATGATAATCATTTAACTTCAACTGGTTAAAAACAGAAGCTTGCTTTTCATATGAACTGGCATCTTAATCGTTAGAAACGTCCGCTTGCCAATTAGGGAAAACCAAGCACATTGTAAAAAGTTAATTTTCATTAATTATCTATATTGCGTTTGCATTGTAACGTCTTGCCTTTCATTCCAGCTACCTGATTTTGGAACATGTATCCGGCGGGGAGCTATTTGACTACTTGGTGAAAAAGGGTCGCCTCACACCGAAAGAAGCGCGACGATTTTTCCGGCAAATCATTTCTGCCCTCGATTTCTGCCACTCGCATTCGATATGGTAAGTATTCTATTTACAAAGTAATAACGTAATTGTTGCTTAATTGAAACTAATATACTTTTTTTTTTTTACTTCTTTTTCAGCGTTTTACCATTCTATTGCAGAAAGGGCAGTCCTTTATTTATTGACATGGGTCAGGAATGTAGCATTTCTTGTATCCATTATTTGTTTATGACCTATATTAAATCAAAGTGAACCATCTTACAGCCATTAAGTAGAAAATAGAAAAATTCGTATACCAGATCGAGTGTGCCAATTGAAGAACGAAGCTATAATAATCAGCGAATACATATAACTTAACCAACCTTCAGCAGCTCAATGAAACTTATCACGGGCGTATATGTATATAAGAGGCTTGTTGCAGACTCAACTAAATCCATCAATTTTTCTTCGGCTGAACAACAGCAACTTTAGACCAACTTCTGAAAAAGCGTTCTACTTGTGAAACTGCCTAAAGTTGCGCCTGTACACAGTTATACATGTCGACCGTTGGACACGTAATCGATTCGTGTGCAGCTATTTCTATTCCTAGAAGCGTCATTATCACGGGTACGCTGAAGCGCTCTGTTTCGTAACTAACAGACAGGGCTGTTCCTTACTTACATTTAAGTGTGACTTAAATGGCAAAAGATCTCTGCGCCGCTTTGTATATATTTATAAGGGTTTGATGAAGGATACTTACTACTACTGCACGTAATGTTAATACATATTGTGGGCTTAGCTATGATCCGTTAGTTATAGTTCCCCAATGTGATTGCTTACCGCGTACAATTCTGTGATTTTTTTTAGTTTAATAACAAGAGTTTATTGACAAGACTTGTGCTAAATTCTCAGAGAAACAGTGCATATTTTGAGCCGTAATAAATCTCGCAGGGATAGACAATGACAAGTTTAAATTTCGCTGGAGTATCGGGCAGAAGCTGCATTTGCGTATCGGTGAGAAACACTGCATCGAACCTCGCATCGGAATCATACATCGATCATTGAGGGTTCTTTTTCTTTCTATTTTTTTGTACAAGCGTCTGAGCAAAAAGGAAAATGTTAAACACGTACGTATGATACGACCTGTCTGTTATTCAGCTTTACACAATCTTCATATGTATTTGCGTTTATATTTTATCTTCCAGCCACCGGGACTTGAAACCTGAAAATCTACTTTTAGACGAGAAGAATAACATAAAAATCGCTGATTTTGGGATGGCTTCGTTACAAATGGATGGCTCGATGTTGGAAACTTCGTGTGGGTCACCGCATTATGCTTGTCCAGAAGTGATACGGGTAAGTGGTACGAGCTGATACGAGCAAATAAATATATTAGCTGCTAGAGTAATATATTTATTATTTTAATATTATGCCTTTTATGTTCACTGGTGAATTCTGCCGAGCTGAAAAGCCAGGCTGATTAGGTTTTATTCTAGGGTCCTAATGCGGTGTGCATGTGATAGGTACTTTTCTGCTTCACAGATGGCATGATATTATTATATCATGCCATCTATAGTAAAAAATGCCAATAGTAAAAAAAAGGGAATACAATTGAATTATTTTACATATTTTCTATACATTATGCATCTGTATCTTATTTTACTAATGCCTCCTATTATTACTCAACTGTGAATAGTAGGCTTAATGCTAACTAATCAAGCTTACCGAGAAGTTCCGTAAAACGTTAAAACTCAAGTACGATCAAACACTGCAATTAAACTGAGCTGATTCTCCGCGGACACAACACGGATATTATGACTTCAGGGATAACATTGAGGCAGATACGATCACGACGAGATCAAAGCAAAGTACGGGGTCCATCTTGAGTCCCTTACATCATGTGTCATTGTTTTAGAAGGCAATACCACGTACAGCAGAAACAAGCAGACTAAAGGACATAGCATGCGAATCCACTGGTTGGTAAATCAAAATTATTTTTTGTGACTGGTCATTAAACATATGTATAAATCTGACACTTAATTGTCTCCAGGGAGATAAATACGACGGTCGGAAAGCAGACGTCTGGAGTTGCGGAGTGATCCTCTACGCCCTGCTGGTGGTAAGTGGCAACAATAGAACTAGTTAGATTGATACAGATGCTAAACAGAAAAGGATACTTTGGAAGCGTCAAACTATCCATTAGACAGTAGGTATAACAATGGCATCCACACGACAGGTCCAACGCTAGGAAGCCTCTCAACAACAATAACTTGAGAAACATCATCCGGGCAATAACCCTAAAATTCGCCAACATCTGAGTAGAAATTTCATTTGTGCCACACTAGCAGTGCTCAAGCGTGTGTATCTAGCATATCTTAGAAATGTTTATAATTTAGAAAATCAAATTATTGCCCAATGCAATCCCACAATGCTCACCAAATACCATTGAACCTGCTTCCATTTTGTACGTTGGTAGTTTCCATGAGTTTACCAGATTCATTAGGCCTTTCCCAGATTTATGAGAGCTGAGCTGAGAGCATGCATTTGGCGTGCTACGATGGGTAGGACTGTGACAAACATGTTTAGCTGACGTGATCTGCGAGTGGGAAATAAAAAGCAAAGTGCACGGAATGAACAGGTAGACGAGATTTCCTGTAGCCCTCCTAGTTTCATCGCAGCCCTGACGGAGTTGTCCTCGACGCCGCCGTGTCCCGCTTTGCTCCTGTCGAGGACGTTTCTTCTAACAACACAATAGAGGAACAATAAAGAGAGAGACGCATTCTATATGTTTAGAAGCAGGCCATTTTATTGTCGATTGCCTGCTTATTTGCGTACATGTCTGTTTATATTTGCTAGGTCTATCGGTCTGTGTTTATGTACTCGAGCAAGCAAGTGCGGCGATGACGTCAGCCAGATATTAGAATAGGGTAGCATCTGTACGCGTAATTCCATACGAAGCGTTTTTAGTTTCCAGAATTTATCCCTCGCTTTCACTGTCTTTTCTGACGATGGTTAATTTGAGCCGTGCTGGTGGATGAGGGGGTAACGGAGCGTCTTGCCGATAATCTCTGACGACAGAGATCTTCTGTTTTGCTTATAGCTATTTCCATTTGAGTACGGAGCAGTGTGTGTAAAGGCTCGACAAAACCACCTACGTATCTGTTGTTTCTGATGATTTTTGCGCGCCATATAACACGCTTAAGTCTACAACGGCTGTGGAAATATAAACGTGTGCCAAATCTCTAAGGGATTAAACTTTGCTATGTATATAGAGTATATTTAGGTGTACAGGCGTGTCTTCGTCGGAAAGTGAAAAACTGGAAACTATATGTATATTAATGTATAATGTACAGTAATGGTAAAATGTTCTTCAAAACCAATATATTGTAGCGTGTATGAAGTATAACAAACGGTACGTGTACGAGGTTGGAGGCCGATGTTTGACACTTGATAATATTTTATTACTTTCTGGTAATTTCTGTATAGCTTACACATTAAAAATATGACTAGAATAAGGCAGGTGGCTGAATAACTGGGTTGTATCGTACCTGTCGGAATTGTTAGGGTAGAAACGTACAGCGAAAGACACTTGACGTTTTCGCTTGTTCTTCAATACTAATGACAAGAGTAGTAATGACTGTTAAAGTATGAGTACCGTACATGGCAGGTCTACTATCACAATGAACTTCGCTTACCGCCGCTATTTATAGTGACGCGCACGAAGCACAACAGCGGCCAGGTCTCTGCGCCTGTTTTGTTTTTATAGCTTTTCCTTCGGTCCTTCTTAGCCTTTGCCAGCCTGTGGCAAGTAACGCTGCAGTTTACAAGCAATTTTGTATATGAGCCCGAAAGAACCAATAATCCCTTTGTTGGTCTAGTCTTGAATCTGCGAATAGATAACCACAAAAGGTTCGCGCTCTTCAGCTGGCTTTGAGGAAGTTGCGCGTTGAAACGTTCTTTCATAACTTGGCCATCCAAAAGCGTCAAATTGAAAATAGGTTAAGTAAAGGGGTTGGACCCATCGATGAGACGCTTGATCCTGCGTATTCCTATTAGTGATACTGTTTTCTTCTACTTATGCCTGTGCTGTGCATCTCCCGCTTTTAAGCCTTTTCAACAGCAGCACCTCGAAGTCCGATTCACTTCTCCGCCCCACTGAAAAGCTGGGTTCGATCCAGCAAGTGACAGTGCACAAAGCCACAAAGTGTGAAAATGTATCCGTGCGTGCTAATACATACCGAGGGTATCTGAGTGTCTTTTCGCTAGTCTTTGAGTCTGACTAATGCTTTCTTCTCTCACTTAGGCTGTTCCTTTTAATTGATCATCCTTTTTGTTTCATCTCCATGTGGGGCAGCGTTTCTTATTATGTTTGTTTACGTCCTACACGTGTGGCGGCCTTCCTTCATTCATCCACAACGATTACACAGCGATTGAGTCCTAACTCTGTTTGCGGCTTGTGCAATCACGTACAACTATAACGCTCTCTCATTGTCTAACTGGCTGTGTCTATTGATACCCGCGCATATACGACATAGTGAAAGTGTCTAGTTTTTGTTAAGTGTTGTTTTCATACATTAGACAAGCTTCACCGACCGAGGTCCGACCAACGTATATCTTACGTACCGACTTATCAAGAGGATAAACAGAATTCATCCTTACATTGACGTATACTTATGAAAGAAGGTGTTTTATAAAAAAGAACATATGTATATAATAAAAACAGAAACTGTTACTACCTCGTTGGGCTCAAGGGGAAATCATTTGTCGAAAACTAACCTACATCCAGCACACGCCCCGTCTTTTCACTTTGTCCTGCTCCAGCAAAAGTTGACTCTTGCAGCTAATAACATTACTAAGAAGAATAGCCCTTTTTGCTACACCGTGCAAATTCTTCTCTGTTCATTTTTCTTTGAAGTTGGCTAATTATTTCTATACAATATGTTACCGTGCTTCTCCCGCTTTCTTTCTCTCGATCACTGCTACCGTTGCTTTTATCTCTTAATATTTTTCTTTTTCCTTATTTGCCTTTCCTAGAGCAGGATTCTATGTTCTATCATCCTGTGTTAGGAATCGCTTAATCAGCCAAAACCGCTAGGAAATATCTAACCACCCAACCCCTTGCCTCTTTCACCCTTCTCCCTTCATCCGTTAAGAAGGCTGTTTTGTCTCGATCCACAACATGGTAAGTTGTTTTTGCCTTATCCGCTGGCTACGCACCTGAATTCCCTGCTTCTCGTCCTTCAGCATAGCTACATAGTTCCTTTGTCTACTACCCTTCGTATTCGTCTCGAGGGAGCCAAGATCGATGGTTGGCAGAAGTAACGTAGCCGCCAATGTAATGGAGCCTCGACGAGCTTCAGCATCTGGGCGCAGTAGTGCCACATGGAAATTGCGATTACTTGGATACCGTGAGCCTCTGTGATGTCCGCCACAGCCGTTGATTGCTGCTTAAATTTTACTCATCTGACATTAGCATCACTGGCCATCACGAGTTTCTTTCTTTGCTTTTATTGAAAGAGAAACAGATTAAGATGATTTTTAAAGCGACTGGTGAATTTTATCAACTAGCTATGGTGCAACGTGCGTTGAAGGTTGAACGTGAACATACAGAATATGTCTCCTGTATATTTGAAAGTAAAATATACTAGTCTATTGCAGGTGGAACAAAGCCCTAATTATATACGAAGCATCAAATCAATAGTGTTTTTCTGGAGGTTTGTATGCCGTGAAATCTTGGAAATAAACGTATGCACGATCTTGCCTAATTAAGGTTTGGATGTAAAATCGTGTATTTTTGAATTCAGTGGAAGTTTTGTTCGGGGCAGTTGAAGGCTCGCAACTTAAGCTTTGACCATACTACGGAAGTAAAAGGTACTGTATCATATTTCAAAGGGCTTGGACCAAGCCTCATATGTTTCGGACTAAACTTAGGACAGTCCGAGCCAGCAAGTTTTCCGTGAGGCCTAACACATATAATTGTGCAAGCTGTAGGCACGGAGCATCGTATCATCCACTCCCACAACGGTTACTTCTAGGTAGAATTCTTTGTTTCTCTCGTAGACGACACCTTATAGGCCAATACTTTACTTGCTTTTTGGTTGAATTTTGACACAGTTATTCACTAATGCCGGCAAGAAGCTCAGCCAGGAGTGTTTGTGCTCGCGAAGAGACTTAATTCTCCCTGGCAAAACGTGTATGCTTTATCTCAACCGAATGTACACGACCTAATATCCAAATCGCATTTGTGAATTTTCTACCGGAACTAACGAGGTTAACTGTGGCGCAGAAATAGCGTATAATTAACTACAGTTTGTGTTATGAGATCAATCGGTTTGTCAGGGAAAAACCCATCAAATGTTAGCCAGCACTTATGAAGTAGCTGTTCATTTTTTCCCCATCCTCAGATGTGTGTAGGCACATTGAGTTCAAGTCTTTCTCATTATAATGCAATAGTGGGCACCACTTGTTTCATAATTTTAGTGATTTCGACATGATCTTCGAAATTTATGTGAATTGTTGTTTTCTACATAAAATGTCTTTGATTGCTGTTAGCGGCATCTGATTCTCTAACGCGTTGTATTACAGGGTGCCCTTCCGTTCGATGACGATAACCTGCGTCAGCTGCTCGAGAAGGTGAAGCGCGGGGTATTTCACATACCGCACTTCGTGTCGCCCGACTGCCAGGACCTGCTGCGTGCGATGATTCATGTTAGTCCTGAAAAGCGATTCTCACTGGCACAGATCATGCGCCACCAGTGGGTTACAGCGTAAGTTTTCACAATTTGCCTAGTGTTTCCTAGACGCCCGTCGTCACACTATCTGCCATGTTACTTCATTATCCAGTAGTGAGGAAAATAAGCAGGAACGAAACTAACTATGGTTTGCAGTAAAACGAGTGAATTCCATGCTTCTGTACTTGAATTTAGATAATGTCATTTGTTCGAAAATTTTTTCCCTTTTCTTCGAACATTTTTGCCCTTCAAATATTTCAGAGGCAGCAAGGTAGAATTGGAGAACGAGCTGCCGATGAAGGAGGTTGTGCAGACGCACATTGTGCCTTCTTCCGACGAACTGGATCCCGATGTCCTCGGATGCATGTCCTCGCTCGGCTGCTTCAAAGACCGTAACAAACTTGTCAACGACCTCCTGTCGCCATGGTAATTATACTGCAAACAATTGTCAACCGCATGTACTGGATGAATGAACCATGAAGTATCCTGGAATGAAAAGATTGTATAAGGTTGCATTAATCTGATTGTGTAAGTGCAATGGCCAGGTTCAGTAGCGCTTTCCCAATTAACTCACGACTGATCCTAAACTTACGCAATGTTATTTTACAAAAATACAAGAACAGCAGATACTTTCGTGTTTTATAATCGCCTGCTGTTTCACAGGTTGTTCTGTTCTTCGTATTCAAAATTATTTATTATTAAAGTAGAAAAAATACAGTGTATATACGCAAAGTTCATCATTTTCGAAAATACAGCTGTCATACATTTTTTCTCAACCCGCGTTCATAGAAAGGCTTGTACGAAACCTTGTGTATCCGTTTTTGTGTTGGTATTTCTATGGCGGTGAACATTCAGCAACTAGCTTCAGAAATCGACCTTTTCCATTGAGTCGCGGCTCACGTTAACAGTATGAGAGGGCAATGAAGTTTGGTCGTAACCGTAGGGCCTCTGCAGAAAAGGTTCTGCTTATTCGTTCGAAAGGGTAGTCACGATGAGATTCATCGTTTGGGCCAGCAATTATTAGTGTATAGTGAGTTCAGTGGTGCCTGGATGGACTAATACTTGAAACCATATTGAAGTCCGTCGTCGGCGCGACTGATGGGGTCTCATACCAAAAGCAGCTTTCTGTCGCGGTGTCTGCCTGTGAAGCGGTCCGTCAGGGACTTCGGATAGCCATCGTTGACTGCTGCGGTCCCTGCTACCTTTGCAGGGAAAGTCAAGTCGAGGATGGGAATGATGGCTACCTTTGTAGCCATCGTCGCCATCCTCGTCCCGGGGCACATTGTTAGTGATCCCGAAAATCCAATTCGACCACTGCGAAACCGCAAGGGCTGCCATCGCGACCGCTAGCATCTCAACGGGAAACCGAAGATCGAAAAAAGCGTCAACAGCCGAAGAAAGCAACTTGTTTTATCACAACAGGCGCTGGATCTTCAGATATATAAGATCACCAGACAAAAACCTCGAGATTGAGGTCTCTCACACGGGAATCTAGCGAGTATATATATTTCCCTACTATTTCCCGCAATCATCTTCTTTCGTATGTGTAAGCAGGAAGTTATCTAGGCTATTGTGGTGATGCTGCTAAATCAACCAACGACGTCCTCCTGTTCTTGATACCCTAAGCGGGCGGTGTGCAAAAGACATTATAGCACACGCATTTGTTTCACGCGTGTGGATCTTTTTTTGACGGCTTTGTTTGGTTCGCTGGATATGCCTGTTACGTATATATGTATAATAAATTTAAGAAGGGATCTAGTAACCTTGGTCGACCGACGGCAAGGGCTGACAAGCTCAATAGGACACGTAGAGCCCCGGCAGTTCTCGCATGACTTGCTATCTTTACGATGTCTCGACGCTGGTGCTAGAGCTTGCTATAGCCATGTGTACACAGATCAGCGTATCGAAGAAGTTCGCCTCTCATCTATTTCTAT